ACTTTCTTCACCTCTCTGTAACTCAAGTTTCCTAAGCTTTAAAATAATACTGACATCTCACTGGGTTTTTATGAAAACAAAACATATTAGTATACGTAAAAGCACTAGAACAGTGCTGACACATTAAACGCTACATAAGTGTTCAGTAAATACAGAAAAAAGTGCTTGCTCTGTGCCAGGCACTGCTCTAGAAGCAGTACAAAGAACAAACAAAAATCTCTTTTCTTTGCAAAGTTTACATTTATTTTTTTAAATACCGTATTTACTTATTTGAGAGAGTGAGAGAGGACTAGCAGGAGGGAGCAGAAGAGGGAGGAGGAGAATCAAGGTCCCTGCTGAGTAGGGAGTCTGAGGCTTGGCTGGATCCCAGGACCCCAGGATCATGACCTGAGTCAAAGGTAGACACCTAACCAAGTCACCCAGGCGCCCTGGGAAGTTTACGTTTAATAAGTAGGTGATGATATTTTAGAATTAAGAAGCACAATTATTTAGCCAATAAATCATCCAATACAGACACTAAGATATATGTATTCAGGAAAGCTCAGTGATTACTGGAGATCAATAGAAATGAAAGAATTTCCACAGGATCTAATTCTATGAAGAAAGTTCATCTAAACCCCAAAATATGGGGAATAGTTCTTCCTGCCTCTAACCAAACGGCAATGTTAGGGTTTACTATATTAAGCAGTTGATAAAAAACTCAGAAGTGACCAAATCAGTAGAGAGTTAAACAACAGCTAACCAAAGAATAAAAGTAACCTCTACTTTAGGTGCACCCGGGTGGTTCAGTCGATAAGGGTGGATTCTTGGTTTTGACGCAGGTCATGATCCCAGAGTCATGAGACTGAGCCCCACAAGGGCTCGGTGCTCAGCGGGGAATCTACTTCAGAGTCTCTCTCCATCCATCCCTCCCCATGCCCCCCCCCACACATGTTCTCTCTAAAATAAATAAATCAAAAATAATAAAGTAGGGGCGCCTGGGTGGCTCACAGTGGGTTAAGCCTCTGCCTTCGGCTCAGGTCATGGACTCAGGGTCCTGGGATCAAACCCCGCACTGGGCTCTCTGCTCAGTAGGGAGCCTGCTTCCCCCACTCCCTCTGACTGCCTCTCTGCCTACTTGTGATCTCTCTCTCTGTGTCAAATAAATGAAAAAAAAATAATAATAATTAAAGTAATCTCAGGGCACCAGGGTGGCTCCATGGGTTAAGTGCGTGCATTCGGCTCGGGTCATGATCCCAGGGTCCTGGGATGGAGCCCCATGTGGGGCTCAGTGTTTTGTGGGGAGCATGCTGCTTCTTCTTCCTCTGCCTGCCACTCCCCCCCTACTTGTGCTCTCTCACATGTGCTCTCTCTCAAATAAATAAATAAAATCTTTTTTTTAAAAAAAGATAGAGTAATCTCCACTTTCACCAAATAAATACTAAGATGAGCTCTCTGGGTTCTTGAGAGACTAAACAAAGTGAGAAAGAAATAGAAAATTCTGGGGGCGCCTGAGTGGCTCAGTGGGTTAAAGCCTCTGCCTTTGGTTCAGGTCATGATCCCAGGGTCCTGGGATGGAGCCCCGCATCGGGCTCTCTGCTTGGCCGTGAGCCTGCTTCCCCTCTCTCTCTCTCTGCCTACCTCTCTGCCTATTTAAGATCTCTGCCTGTCAAATAAATAAATAAATAAAATCTTAAAAAAAAAAAAAAGAAATAGAAAATTCTGATAAAGAGGCATGAGAAAGTAAAGACTAAATAGAAAATAAAAAAGTTTTATTTGGATTATTTAGTATCTACGCCTACCCTAAATACTTGGGACAGCTCTTAGTAGAACAACCTATCACAATGATGTACATGACAAAAACTCTAGAATGGACAGAAAGCACTTTATACAAGGTTCAGCATATGACCAGAGATCCTAATTTCTTTTTTTTTTTTAATATTTTATTTATTTATTTGACAGAGAGAGAGAACACACAGTAGAGGGAGAGCAGGCAGGCAGAGCAGTAGAGGGGCAGGGAGAAGCAGACTCTCTATGGAGCAGGGAGCCCAACATGGGGCTCAATCCCAGAACCCTGGGATCATGACCTGAGCTGAAGGCAGCTGCTTAACTAACTGAGCCACCCAGGTGCCCCCAGAGAACCTAATTTCTAAACTAAACTGAAATAGAGACCATTTAACTATTTATTCGTTCAAATTATAATCACCCAGCTCTCAAAGTACCAGCTTATGCTGGCCAGGCTTGGCACTGGTACAGAACATAAGATCAAAAGGAATTTGGAGATTTCTGTTCTAGTTAAAATAAAAGTAGCTTTAAGTTCTGTCATCCAATCTATATCTCTTCTGGTATACCACACTGCCCCATTTGAACCAAAAAGGAATGGTCTGGGGTAGAAGTAGGGGAATATAATTTCATAGAGCAATCTCTATGATGGAACTTAATATTGTAATTTTAATCTTTACTAGAAAAAAATAAAATGGAGCACCTGGTTGGCACAGCCAGTTAAGCATCCAACTCTTGGTTTCAGCTCAGGTCATGATTTCAGGGTCCTGGGATCAAGCCTTTCATCAGGCTTCACACTCAGTGTGCCCCTGTCCCCCATGCTCATACCCTCCCACTCACTCACTCTCTCAAAAAAATAAATCTTAAAAAATAAATAAATAATATAAAATGATACATACCTATCATGTCAGCTTCTTTTACTAAACAAATTTTAATCTCTGCCATACAAATAGTGTAAGTTTATTAAAAGAATGACCAACTTCAGTTTTTTATGCCCTGCAAACCAAAAAGCATCTTACAAGCAATCCAAATTCATCATCTATCATCAATTAAAATGAATGGTTTGATTATCTCTGTCTCCATGAGTGGATAGATGCTTTATTTTCTATTTATTCCTATCCTCAAACCACTACCAAAATCAATCAATACCAGAAATAAAAGTAAACCAGAACCATCAAAACAGACAAAAGGGAAAAAGAAAATAAACTGAAGGTACTAAAGACTGACAAATTTTAATCTTACAACATATCTAAAATGTAAATGTACAACAGTCTGAATATAGTTATTTAGGAGGAAAAAAAGGCTGCTGCACTATGAAAGATACTGTCTTCTGTAGTAGCAAAACAGGAGGGAGTTAACCAAAAGAATTTTTCCCATTAAAGAAGAGGAAATAAACAAGGCAAACTTCTTCCCTTTGGAAAAAAAGATACTATAAAGAGCAGCTGATAATTCAATCATTTACTAAGTATTCAGCCAAAGGAGCAAATCTCAATGTAGAAGGAGGGAAGGGAGTAGTGGTCTCAAGTTACATGTGCCTCCTCCCAATTCTTCCTTACTGGAATTCCTCAGCACCTTCCAATAATCCTGCCTTTATTGAAAATCACTACCCTGGAGAGCCACTGTTAAAATGGAAATGTGCCAAATTTCTTTAGTATATTGGGACAGAAGAAAGATGCAAATCACTTATCTACACATCTATACATAATAGAGTCTACTTTCTCACTATAAAATTTTATTTTCCGTATCATGTAATTGTGGGTTCTAGCCACCCTTGCTTCAATGAAGTGGTGTTCAAATCAATTTTGACACGTGAAAATTATGGTTATTATCATTATCATTCAGTCACAAAACAGAAAGGCAAAGAAATTTGCAATTAGTCCTATTACTCTAGTTCAACCTTGGCCTTCCCTGAAACCCTTGAATCCAGAGATTCCAGACTGCTGAAGTTTACTTTATAAATTACCAATTTTTATTTAAGCATTTGTGACAGAATTTTCTTTTGAATATATCTTCTTAGCTTAAGAACAAGTGTTTTAAACTATAAAAATAATATATAATCATTGAAAAGCCTTCAGTAATTCAAAAGTCTAAGTACTAAGTGATTTAAGTTCCTTCCCTTACCACCACTCCCCACTCCCATTCCCCAGGGATAACCGCTGTAAAACAATGTGGGGTGTATTCTAGATCTCTTCACAATACATACAATTTTTATATATTACTGTATAAACAAACTTGAGCGAACAAGGAGATCTTGCTGTACATTCAGTACTACGAAACTTGCTTTTTACACTGATGGACTGAATAGCCTTTTAAGTTTATCCTGCTACACACAATTTGTTTAAACCGCATATTTCATAGTATTTTTCATCATTCCCTTACTGACAAGGTACTTTTTGATATTGGAAATACTGTTTTCATTCTTTTTTATAATATATTAAACTTTTCCTTTATTGCCACTTCATACCGCCATCACGGCATTGTCTCTATTTCTTCTCACTTCCAATGAAAAACTTGGAAACTTGGGGCACTTTGGTGGCACAACTGGTTAAGGGACAACTCTTCATTTCGGCTCAGGCCCTGATCTCAGGGTTGTGAGAGCGAGTCCTGTGTTGGGCTCCGCACTCTGTGCAGAGTCAGCTTGAGATTCTCTCTCCCTCTGCCCCTCAACCATCATTTTTATTAAGTTCTAGCAAAAACTGTCAAATTGTAGTCTAACAATGATTTTCCACTTGAACAAAATCTTAAGATAAATTCCATCTGCTTTAAGGCTAAAATTTTCCCTTTAAAATTATTATCTTCTAACACCTACTCCAACATCACTTTCATCAGTAATATATATCTAATTTTTGTTAGAAACGGAGCTCAACACACTTGATTTCCAAGGTATAGAAACTCTGAAGATCTGAGAAACTGAAGAAATCTTCAATGCTTCTGAAAGATTACTAAAGCAAAAAGTTACAGGGAAAAATATTACTCACGTATTTCTTTTTCCTAGCATTTTGCTTCCTGATTTTAGGATTTTAAAATGCTTCTGGAATGATGTCTATTCATGATCTAGCTAGCCAATATACCTTGTGGTACTAGAAATGATTCAATTAAATTGATGATTAAAAAAAAAATCAGTTACCTAATTCAATCAAATTCTGACCCAAAAAACCCCACAGAATTTACATTTATCTAATACTCAACTACTTAAAGATGTAATTTCATTTCTGAAAACTGAAAAATCTTTAACTTACCTCAACTGTTTCGCGTAGTTCTGTTCAATTTCTATCCTCTCTTTAACAAATTTGGCATATCTTTCCAGGAAGTCAATTCCCCATTGTGTATGCTTGTCTAAGCTGTCGAACTGATCCTGGAAAAGAAGGTGAAAACACACTGAAAAGTCTAAAATTGTATCCACAAATATTTTAATCAGCTTCTGATATTTATTCAGAAAAGCAATGAGGTCTAAAAGGAAAAAAACCTAGGCTCTTCTGGTTTCTACCCACCTCATTATTTTATTTTTTAAAGATTTTATTTATTTATTTGACAGACAGAGATCACAAGTAGTCAGAGAGGCAGGCAGAGAGAGAGGGGGAAGCAGGCTCCCCGCTGAGCAGAGAGACCGATGCGGGACTCGATCCCAGGACCCTGGGATCATGACCTGAGCGGAAGGCAGAGGCTTTAACCCACTGAGCCACCCAGGCGCCCGCACCTCATTATTTTAGATCTACAGAGAAATAGGTTATAAATGCTAAACTTCTTAGCATAATTCACACAACTTTACGTCTAAACGCTTTTACATACGTGGTTTCCCCTGGATGCAACACCCTCCCCGGTCACCTTTTTACAATTTACTGTTTCTTACTCCTCCTTTGAGATTTAGTTCAGGCACTATGGCTTCCAGAAAATGGTCCAAAATTCTCAGACTGGGTATGTTGGTCTTTCTCTGGGTCTCCAAGACTCCCAAGGTTACGATCTTTTCCTTCTTATTTAAATTCCAAATAATTAATGCACAATGTAATTACTAGTTTCAGATATACAATAACTCAGCACTTCCATACATCACTCAATGCTCATCACAAGTGTGCTCCTAAATCCCCATATCACCTATTCCACTCACCCCCCACTCACCTCACTTCCAGTAACCATCATTTTGTTCTCTACAGTTAAGGGTCCAGTTTCTAGGTTTGCTTTTCTCTCTCTCCCCCCGCTCCTTATTCACCTTTGCTTGTTTTGTTTCTTAAATTCTACATATGAGTGAAATCATATGGTATCTATCCTTCTCTGACTGACTTGTTTCACTTAGAATACTATCTCCATCCATGTTGCTGCAAATGGCAAGATTTCGGTTTTTATGGCTTTTATGTGTATGTGTACACACACACACACACACACACACACACACACCCACACCCACACCCACACCCACATCTTCTTTACCCATTTATCAATGGACACTTGGGCTGTTTCCATAATTTGGCCATTGTAGATAATGCTGCTATAAACATCAGGTTTCATGTATCCTTTTGAATTAGTATTTTTGTATTCTTTGGGTGTAATTGCTGGATCATAGGATAGCTCTATTTTTAACTTTTTGAGGAACCTCCATACTGTTTTCCACAGTGGCTTCACCAGTTTAAATCCCCACAAACACTACAAGAGGGTTCTGGGTTCCCTTTTTGCCACATGCTTGCCAACACCTATTGCTTCTTGTGTTGTTGATTTTAGCCATTCTGACAGATCCGAGGGGATAACCATAGTTTTGATTTGCATTTCCCTGATGATCACTGATTTTAAGCATCTCTTCATGTATCTGTTAACCATCTGTAGTTCTTCTTTGGAAAAGATCTATTCACATCTAATGCCCATTTTTCATTGGATTATTCATTTCCAGGGCACTGGGATTTTTAAGTTCTTCATATATTTTGTATACTAACCGTTTATAGGATAGGTCATTTACAAATACCTTTTCCCATTCAGTAGGTTGCATTTTAGTTTTGTTGGTTGTTTCCTTCGCTGTGCAGAAGTTTAAAAATTACTATCTTATTTACTTGCCATACTCTGTTGAGGACAGAAACCATGTATCATTCAAATCTGAACTCCAAAAGCACTAGAGGCCTGGCACTGTAGCAGGCACCCAATGAAGCTAAATAAAATCAAATATACTGAGGTTCAGATTCTGGGCTCTGCATTTACCAGATGTGGGCAAGTCGCCACGGTTCTCTGAACTTTGTCCATCTTAAAATGGGAGTCCCATCACACACCTCAATAGGGTTATGATGATGTTATTAGGTGTTCTACAATGCAGTAAACATGAAACTAATACATCACAAAATATCACTGTCCTGCAGAACTCTTTCAATCCTCAAGATACTCCTTTCTACCTGCTGCCTAAGAAACCATCATTTCCTAGCCTTCAAGAATAATCTCCAGATTGACTAATAACTTGGTGCTTTCTCCCTCTCCCATATCGAAAGTCTATACTGTTGATAAATGTTCAAAAATCATCCTTTTCTATTATCTCTAACTGTTCTTCTTTTTCTAAATCACCTATGGTTTAACAGGATTATTTACAAATAAATCATCTCCAAGTCTTTTTGCTTTTTATCCCTTTCCCTACCTTAAATCATTTTAAAATTCTACTTGTAAAGGTAAATTCTACCTAAATAGCACAGATAGAATTTATCTGGCTACCACAGTTCGGTATTACTACTCCAATTCTATTCTTTCACGAAACTTTTTCATTATCATTTGGCTTCCAAAGTAGACTTGAAAACAGCAAGAAAATGCACTGCCCAGTGAATTTAACTGGAATATTATTAAGATTTCCTATTATAAGTTAAATTCCCTTTCAAACTGAAAAACTCTCAACAAAGAACTTTCCCCCAGAAAGGAAAAGTCTGAAGCTAAAGCTCAGACTCTCTCTCTCTCTCCCTGACAAATAAATAAATGAATAAATAAAATCTTAAAAAAAAAAAAAAAAAAAAAAGGAATCAATCATAAGCCTCATGGGATCATTGGTAACACCCTCTAATCCCTTCAGTTTCAAAGCCTGAGATCACATTTCTCCCCAGTCCATGCCAGCAAATACCTTGGATTATATAGTGGAAAATGTCTGGAAATGCTCAAAACAAACTAAAGAAATTAACCAGTATTCTGAAACCACCTATGGATTACAAATAAATAAAGTTATCAAATTGCCCTTTTATCAAAAGAGGCAATTTATCTTTATTCCCCCCATTCTCTCTACCTTTAGCATTACTCTTATTTCTATGGATTTACTCTAGATTACTAACAGAGTACAACTTCTTCCACCTCCTTGCCTTCATTAACCCCTCACTTCCTTTTCTAACACATTCATCCTTACACAGCTTCTGTGAAATGTGCTCTCTCCCCTCAGTGGTATGCCCTAATTAAATGCTATCTCATATTTAAATTCAAGAAAACTATTACTTTCTGTTTCCTTCAAGTACTGTTTTTTTAATTCTGTAAAATGTTTGAAGTTATTTTACATTATTCATTTGGGAACACAAGGAAAACACCCTAAATTAAAGTTGGCATCACCCAACTAAATGTCCACACTATTTAGCATAAATCAAACGAATTATATGTTGCTCCAAGGTTCTACTGTATAGTAATGAAATAATATATACTAAATTTACTCAGTCACCTTACTTTTATCTATAAAATTATAGCTTTAATGCAATTTAATTAAAAATAAGTATGCATCACAAAGTGTTATAATTTTTTCCAGAAGTCACTATTTTACATTCAATCCTTGTTTTTCTAATTACTTTGACACAGCCTTGCATCCAAATGAAGTCCCAATAAAATACTTTTGGTAAAGCACCAAGGGTCATGACTATTTTTAAAAAAACTTTCTTCACTAAAAAGCAGAATAATGACTTTGTGTCCTAGTTCGGGCTTACTCTATAGCTCTGACTTTCTGCCAAAGTTTCTCTAGCACTTCTGAATACCAAAGTACTACCAAAAACATTCTTAAGATCTAACACAACGGACTTTTCTCATTCTTAGATTCATATGAAACTAGAAACATTTTTTAAGCCTCGTGGAACTAAAAAATCAATTTGTAATTCAGAGACAACATCTACCCCCAAAGTAAACAGGAATATTTTAATTTTAAAATAACTTAATTATTTCATTTGTTTCCTTGTGGTTTTAATGGGTGGGTTTTTTTTTTTTTTTTTTAAGATTAATTTATTTGAGTGAGAGAGAGCAAATGGGTGGGAAAGGGAAGGGGGAGAAAGAAAATCCTCAAGCAGACTCCCCACCGAGCAAGGAGCCTGATGCAGTGCTCAATCCCAGGACCCCAAGATCATGACCTGAGCCGAAATCAAGAGTTAGCCACTTAACTGACTGAGCCACCCAGGTTCCCCTGTTCTTTAAAAAATGGATGCAAACTTGTGTATTTGGAAAACTTACCTATTACCTATTACCTTTTAATTTTCAACTAAATTTTAAATTAAGCTTTAACTAAATTAAAAAAAATTTCAACTAAATTTTCAACTAAATTTTAAATTAAGCTTTCAATAACTTCAAAATCTCTACAGATAATCCTTCCAATACCTAGTGCACATTATTTTACTTACTTCTCTTCCTACTACTTTCTCTCCCACTCTCTCAGCAATTCATTCCAACGGTCATCCCCATTGTTATTAGCAATAACTATAAACATCTCCTCCTCCAATAAATTCCAAGACTTTAATTCTCAGATGGTCAATCCTCTCTGCCAACTCACGAACTCTAGTACTCCAAAGCCAATAACTTTTGGTTGGTTTTTTAATATTTTTTTGTTGTTGTTTTGCTTTTTTTTTTTTTTTTTTAAGTAATCTCTACACCCAACATGGGGCTTGAACTCACTACCCGGAAATCAAGAATCACATGTTCTACTGACTGAGCCAGCCAGGTGTCCCAGGGCCAGTAATTTTTGACCCCACAGAGACTTCAATCCACTGATTCTGACAATTTCTACTGCCCATCCCCCTCCTGTCTGCATTTCCATCTTGACACAGCTTGGATTCCATAAGCCGTCACTGTAATCACTCCATCCAAATAGCTTCAAGTGTCTTTGCCCTCTCTTGCTTTGCCAAATTTCAACACTGGTTTTATACTTAACGCTTTACCAATCCTTCCTCGTGCTGCTGGAAAAAGGTGGGATGTGAAGGAAGGACAGACAGACAAGGCAGAGGAACCAACCAAACAACCACACTGACTGGTCATCCTTTGAAAATGTGTGCTTACTAACTCAAAAGGCTTAAATACTACTTAGCCTGAACCCATTCACCATCCCATTATCCCAGCCAACTATCTTATACCCTTTCAGTTTAAATTTACACCACTTCCTATCCA